ATTAAAATTAATAGAATAAGAATAAATTACAAATATCCCTATTCATATTGGAGCAGTTCATTTCCATTGGAATCCAACGATTATTTTAGACTCCTGTTTAGTAATAAACTTAACCCGCAGCTATAATTATTACAGCTGTATTTTCCTTTATGTATTTTATCTCGGAGGAAACATGAATCGCGTCAAATTATTGTACATCTGTCGCATTAACGTAGTTTATTAACTATAAATATTGAGGTGATCAGGCGATTATTTAGCGTTTAAACAATAGATATGATTCAGTTGGCACTCGTCTAACGTCGGAAATAGACAGCCCACACCTGTTTAAGCCGTCAACCACAATACAACACAAATAAACATATTTTATTTCATTTATTTATAGAATTCTATTTATAAACAGGTTCATTAAAAAAAGGCTATGGAATCACTATATAAAACACGGCACAAAAGAAACACATGAGTGTCTTACAACTAGGACAATAAATAAAATAGAAACTTAATACTTTTCCATTGATTTTTTTTTGTTATTTTTGTGTCAATGTGTGGTTGTTAAAGCCGAGTGGGAAAATTTATTTCTCAATAATGCTCTCTGTGCAATTTAACCAGACCCTAAATTAAAAAAGGTTTAAAAAATCTGCGAAATTATATATTGTACACGTTTGGCATTAAAAAAAAGAATTTACAATAATAAAACCTCAGCTGTTTAAAAGAAATTATAATACGTTCAAGTGAAATTACATTCGAGAAATAGTTGAAAAAGGAAAAACGGGTGAATGTATAATAAAAATAAATTTGGAATTGCGGCGTGTGTAATGTCGGTGAGGACGAAGCGGGCCGGGGGCGGATAAGGGCGCTTAAGAGGATGTTCCTTCTTATTTATGCATGAAGATACCTTCTCCCTCCCAACAATTTACCTTCTATTAAGTCACATTAAAACTACATTAGCCTAGTTTGTCATGCGAGAAAACATGAAAGCCTCTTATCCTAACGTTATTTTTTTAAGAAATAGGCGAATTTTACAATCTTTCCCATGAGGAAAACATGTCGAAACGATACCCACGACGGTTTATGGAGTTAATTTCTTAACTAGTAGAAATTTTCAACAGTTTTAAATAAATATTTTTATACCGGCCTTTTTACGTTGGGTTTATTGAGTTTTCAAACTCGTCTATCCCATGATGATGGTTAGTGGTGTTTGGTGTAGCTCGAGGATTCTGTTTTTTATGTTTATAGTTCATTCTTCTTGATTGGAGGTCATTCGCCAGTCAAGATACCCGAAGTAGCAGATGATGGATTCAATAGTAATAGGGTTAGGTTAAAATAGGATTCTGGTTGGGTGAAGATTGTTTTGGATGTTTTAGTGTTTTTTGTATCTGTAATGTTCAGTACTGTCCTTTTAAGTCGTGTATGAGAATTCCATCTCAGTTGTTAAGATCCCACCCCCCGAGGTATCGGATGATGCTTTCGATAGTAAGGGGTGAGGTTATATAGATTGGAGGTGCAGTGAAGGTTATGTTTTGGATGGTTTAGTGATTTTTTGTATCTGGAAGGTTCAGTTCTGTCCTTTTAAGTCGTGTACGAGGATTCCATCTCAGTTGTTAAGTCCCGGTATCGGATGATTCTCTAAGTAGTAAGTTCTCACTTACTATACACTATAATAAATTGAAGGTTAGGCAAAGATTATGCTAGGATTTTGTAGAGTTTGCTGTGTGGAGGATTTAGTTCTGTTCTTTTTGGTCGTATAGGAGGATCACAGATTAGCCGGTTGTCAAGGAACAGCCCGAGGTAGCGGATGATGCTTTCGATAGCAACAGGGTGAGGTTATAATAGATAGGAGGTTGAGTGAAGGTTATGTTTTAGGATTTTGTACTGTTTGTTGTATCTGCAAGGTGTAGTTCCCTTCTTTTTAGTCGTATATGAGAATTCAATCTCAGTTGTTGAGGCCCCTCCTGGAGGTATGATGATTCTTTCGGTAATAAGTCCTCACTTACTATACGCTAAAATAAATTGAATGTTAGGCAAAGATTATGCTAGGATTTTGTAGTGTTTGCTGTATGAAGGATTCAGTTCTGTTCATTTTGGTCGAATATGAGGATCTCAGGTCAGTCGGTTGTCAAGGTACAGCCCGAGGTAGCTGATGATGCTTCCGATAGTAAGAGGGTGAGGTTATATAGATTGGAGGTTCAGTGAAGGTTATGTTTTGGATGTTTTAGTGATTTTTTATATCTGGAAGGCTCAGTTCTGTCCTTTTAAGTCGTGTATGAGGATTCCATTTCTGTTGTTAAGGCCCGGTATCGGATGATTCTCTAAGTAGTAAGTTCTCACTTACTATACACTATAATAAATTGAAGGTTAGGCAAAGATTATGCTAGGATTTTGTAGTGTTTGCTGTGTGGAGGATTTAGTTCTGTTCTTTTTGGTCGAATATGAGGATCTAAGGTCAGTCGGTTGTCAAGGTACAGCCCGAGGTAGCTGATGATGCTTTCGATAGTAAGAGGGTGAGGTTATATAGATTGGAGGTTCAGTGAAGGTTATGTTTTGGATGTTTTAGTGATTTTTTGTATCTGGAAGGGTTAGTTCTCTTCTTTTTAGTCCATTTAGTCCAGAAGATTCGGCACCACGTTCTTCGATAATTCTTTCAATTAGAATAACAAGACCAAATAACAATTTTTAAACTTGTGCCCTGAAGTATGCTACTTTCCATTCGGCTTATAAAACGTTTTTTTACTAATTTTAATGTTAATTTATGGAAAAATAATTAGAGCTTCTTTTATGAAATTTATTGATTACTAAAAAAGACCTGTTTTGTACTTTCACTGAAGCTGAACTTGAACATTGGACATAAAAACACTATTCTCTTTGAACACAGCCTCCACAATAGACGGCACTACTCAAATTAAATTCCCATAACGGAATTAAAAAAAGATTCGTTCATTTTGTTTTAATGGTGAAAATTATTGGAAATAAATTTATTTGATAAATCAGAGTAAATTCTAATAATATCTCATTTTTTAATGAAACCTAATTATTTCTCGACCAATAGAAAACGATTTTAACAAATGGATAAATAATCTTTTATTAAAATTTAAACGTGTTAAACTGAGACCTTTCAATAAACAATAATGCGCAATACCGTTTAGCAGCAAAGAACTTGTTTCAAACCATAAAAACCAAAAGCACTTTTTAAAACTCCAATCTTTCTATATATGAAATTCAATAGTTGTTATTTTCTCAAAGTAAGATTATAGTATCTCTTCATAAAACTTCATAAAACAGCAGTTAAATTTGAAAGAAAGTGTATCATTATATGTTAAAAAGCGTCCAGGTATGAATTTTAAATTATTAAATAATCGGTCCTAACTTCATCTGAAGTACTGTGCCAGGTTTATGCAAAACCTGTGAGCCGAAATCCCCCAAAACAATTTTTTTATTTCAAAAAGTTCAAAATAACCAAATCATAAAGACTTTTTTGCCGAGTAAATTGATAGGTAAGAATGAAAATGTGTTAATATGAAAAAAACATATCCATGCCAAAATAAACTTCAAATACTTCTCGGCTTTTTCTGCCCATAAATCAATTCCGTCGTTGGGTTTGCTTTTCTACACACAATCACTATTATTTTCGTTATTCAAGTGTATAGGTTGGACCTTTTTTTATTTTGTAGCAGTGAAGAAATGGTTGCTGTTAATACGGGGGCGTCTAATGCGGGGCACTGTGTATGTTAAACCCACAAGACTTCAGCATGGCAGAAGTGTTAGTCCCTGCGCCGTGAAGCTTCACTTAGTACACTCCTAGACTTTCAAAAATCGTTACACCAATTTAATTATCAACTTACTGACAAATCAGTTGTTTATAGGAAAAAGTAATAAAAAAATAAAGATTAAGAAAAAACATAAGGATTAATTAATTATTCTTTCTAAGGTCTTCGTTGAGATAAAAAAGTCAGTGTCACAAGCGTTTTTATCTCAACCAAGACCTTAGAAAGAATAATTAATTGATTGAAAGAAGTAACTTAGTCATTTGACTACGAAAACGTAAATGGATTAATAAGGATTTATGCTAAATCAGGACACTTGGTTACGAACAGGTATATAGAGTGTTTTTTTATATTTCTTTCTCCGTTCACTGCATTGGCTATAAAAATAGTCTATCTGACTTATTTTTGTTTGACGTTTGTTCGTTTATTATAATTCTCAGTTGTGTTAACAATAAATGTCCTATATTTCCTTTTTTACCTGTTTGGATTGGCTACGATTCTTCCTCTTAATTAACGTCTATATCTATCTCTTTTCTGGCTATACAAACATATAAAACATTTGTGTGATAGCGTCGTCGTATAAAATCTAGATGCCTTCTCAGCATGTTCTGTAGTCAATAAGCTAGTAATTAATGTAGAAAAATGCAGGCTTGAAACTTTTTAAGAAAAGGACTTTATAAAAGAGACTTGATTTCACAAAAATCACATAGGCCCAACAGTGAAGATGACAAAATGCCGAAAAGCGTCTGACCGATTAAACTTAGAAAGATGGGCAATTTCATCACCACGCAGGCCAGAGGAGGAAATCTCACAAAAACATTTGCTGTTATTCCTTTGAAAACCTTTTGAAAAACTTCTCGTTTGTAAATCTTTGCCATGTACAGGTTTTTTATTTATTTTTTTTATGGCTCCGAATCATTCAGTTAATAATTGATGCTGCATTAATTGTTGGTTAGTGTAAAGGAAATTACCGTATTTAAAACGCTACCCAAGCAGAAACTATAATCCTTGCCACAAAACATATTCGGCTGGTTATTAAAGCCAGGAAAATTTGAAACAAAGAAGCGCAGTCAATGATAATTCGATCTGGGGCATGATTTGAACAATAAACATCTTATTAGAATTCTGTAAATATCCTGGTATTGGAATTCAAAATAACAATTGTGAATGGTGTGATTCAGGCTGCAATGATTTCCTTTTAATTATTGTAAAAAAAAAATTAGACATTGTTTTGTGTTTCAGGTGGAGATTCTGGTCCAAGCGGATTCGAGATTTTCGACTCCGAAAGTGGCCAAGAACTGACACTTTCCCCACAAACCTTTGCCAATACGGAGGCATTCATCAATGACAGCTCAGGGAGCCCTGGAGTCTCGGGGCCGGACAACGACACAGGTAAGACGGAGCAAAGCCTATTTTAATAATAAATTAAGGGGCGTCGGTGGCCGCAACGGTTTAGGCGTTGTCACGGCGCTCATCACTGTAAGGTAAAGATCCCGGGTTCGAATCCAGGGCCGCTGGATACATTCGTACAAATGGGCTTTCTTTCAAAAACACCGGCACCCTGAGGGTTTATATGACCTCTGCTTTTGCGAACCCTCGTAAAAAAAAAAAAAAANTTGTTGTCTCATTATTTTCCCATCCTTGTGGCAACACCAAAATAAACTTTTATCTTAATTAATTAATATTTATATAAGGTATTGGCTGAGATAAAAAGTCAGCGTCACCAGCGGGATTCGAACCCACGATCTTCGGCTAAATACACCGTTGCTCTACCTCTTGAGCTATCGTGATTTCGATTCGATCATTTGAAAAAAGTTAATTGGTCAATCGGGCCACGAACTGTAATGGATTTAATAATTAAACTGAAGTATATCTTCACGAAAGGTCTTCGTGACGATTTCATTTGTCGCCGAGAATCAAATAGATTACACGACATTTGAAAAATGGCAAAAAGGAGGGGTTGTGATGGGAAGTTAGTGTCCGAGCGGACTTTTATCTTAACTACAAAAATTTGACCTTACTATAAATTCGTTATAACGAATTGTCTAAATATTGTCCAAAAATAATTTTTAATTGTGGAATATTTAAATTTTTGTTAGTTTTACCCTTTGTTTATTAAGCCCACCAAAACCCCAGTTTCATTTTCACCGAAAAATCTTCTGCACGTATTATTTTATTCTCATTAAAATGTTTAGTTATTTTTATATATTTTTACCACCAAAATCTAATTCTGAAATAGCGTTTTTTCCTCAACCTTTTATCAAAAAAATGTCTTACAATTATCTTTTATGGGTAAAATAGTGTATTTTAATACAAACCCAGTTAAAGGAAATCAAAAGGAAAGGAGTGAGAAAGGTTCTCGGACTCTTCGATTTCGGAGGCTTTTCATTCTGGCGAAGGAATGGGGTTGATTCCTTTCCTCTTTGCCAATTACACGACTGAAAAAAAGGAGATACCAAAATCCGTGAGTAGCGTTAGCCCTTCAAATGCCCCCGAGTATCGACAAGACTCCCCCTGGGAATTCGGCCGCCCTCCTGACGCAATCACTTCCGTTATTCCATTTATCATCTACAAGAAACTAGTTGAAAACATTTCGGTTTTAGCAACATGTCGGAATTTATGAGTATGTTGAAGAAAAAAAATACCACTGAAACCGAAGATAGAGAAAAATGAACACGCTGTACAATTACGACTTATTTATAAATTTTGACTATTTTAATTTAATTTAATGTTCTTAAGAAGGTTAGGTGCGGATAAAACGTTGCTAAGTTGCTACAAAGTCACTGGGTCCATCACTATTGTTCTCCTGGGCTCACTATCCAGCAATTCCATAATCTTGATTAGTGACTCATCAGTTATAAATTACTATAAGACACCTTTTTCCGTTCAGTTCTCAAATAAAATTCAAGGTAACCCAAAACCTCCAGTATGACCCCTGGTTAGTACATACCGTATTCCAATTCATCTCTGAAGTCACCTGTCATATAATCATGTCATCTATTGTTTATAATTTTTATTGGCTTCCATAGCATTGATGGCACTCAGTTATACTTAACGGATTCATAATTTCTTTCCCAGTGAGTAGAAAGGTTTTCCTTGTAATTGCAGCATGTTATATGTATTGAGGATTATACTTCTTCATGGCATGTCCCAAATACGCCCAATGACTTTCTGTTGTTTATTGGATGAATAGGCAAATCCGATTAACAGATTTTGGCCTTGATGAGCCGTTCTGCAGTAAGCTAAGGTGAGACTGTCTGAATGCCTGTATGTCCAGGGATGTTTTTATCAAGACCCCATCCCTTCTTTATGGCAGTTCGACAATTTGGAGTAGGGTTCTGGTACTGGGTACCTCTGACACTCTCTGACTTCTTTAACCTTCCGTCCTGTGTGTCCTAGACCCAGACAAAGAGTCAGTTTATGAAGCAGGTGTCAAGTAAGGCAAGTCGATAGTTTCCCTTAACGAAACTTATGTCTCTCTGGATATTGTTCCACCTGTCATTGATTAGTATTTATTAAAATATTACCTTAACATTCACAATAAATAATAAGTAAATAATCTTATGAATTACTGTAACAAAAATAATTTTTAAGTAAGTTTGGTTCTGAAATATTGACACAGTGTAAAACAAACAAGCACCGTTTAATTCATCTGTTTAAATATAGACTTTATTTATTTCAATACAGTGCCACGCCCTATGTGAAATAAGGGAAAATGTTGTTTTAAAACCACGGCAGAGTCCCGGTTGAAATCATCTCTACCTTTAATCCCTGGAGTTGGGAGTAATCAAAACTCGTTTAGCAGAGTTTCGCACCCGGCGAAAGAACTCGGTAAATAATTTGATGTTTTATTTGAGTTTCTCTTCTTTCTCACATTGATTTCTCCCTCTGTGGAAAGGTTTTTGCATCATCTCGATCGAGAGATTCAAGTTTTCATTTGTTTAAGAAATCAGGCTTTTAAATTTAATGAAACATCGCTGAATCATTTATGAAAGTGTATCAAAAACAGGTAGAAATCCCGGGATCTTTTCTCCCAGATTAGCCGAAGTGACGGTCGTATTATTTATACAAGTGTATTTTATCGGTTACAGACGGTTCCACATAAAAATAAACCCTAAATTGATTAAATGTTTGGTTAATAGAAACAAGTGCGAATTATTTGGATAGGCAAGCTAAAAAACAATTCCGTTATTTGCAATTGTAGGTCAATCTTCCCCTATCATTCCTAATTTCCCAAACTCTATTTTCATTACATCTATTAGGTTTCGTCGTCCGATTGACCAAATAAATTCTTTTCAATTAATTAATCTTTAATTAATGGTTTGGTTGAAAAAGGGCAAAAAGGAAGGGAAAATTCAAAAGGTGGGGTTGAGATGGGAAGTTGGTGTCCGAGTGGCTCAAGTGGTAGAGCAATGGCGTATCTAGCCGAAGGTCGTGGGTTCGAATCCTGCTTGTGACACTGTCTTTTTTATCTCAACCAAAACCTTAATTAAAGATTAATTAATTGAAAAAATCTATTTTCATTGTTATGACATTTCATCCAGAACTGTTGTTCTCCGTTTGATATACGGCTATGTCTGGAACAATTAGAATCTAATATCCACAATAATTATCGAAAAGTAAAAACACGACAATAAACGAGAAAAAAGAATAAATTTGTCTTTTTTTATTTGTTTTTCAATTTTTTCCTTGGAAAACATTAAGTAAAGTAGTTGTTAGATGTTTACATTATCAGTATCAGATCCCAATAAACCCCGCAATCCTTTGAATCCAGGATGGCAGTGGGCCTAAAGGCTTCGTTTTTTTTCTGTTGAGGTGTTGCTGGGTTGAATGATGACTCCGTGTTTCAAGCTAAAACGCTAAAAAATCGCACGGTTGTGAGTTGTGCCATAGAAAATCATAAAAGAGGTTACACTGAAAATATTTCCAAGGGCCACAAGCCCTAAGACCAATATCAAATATTACAAATCCTGAGAAATATACGTTCGGTATCAGGACACAAAGGGGTTCTGGGTAATCAGCAAGCAGATCAACACGCCAGAGGAGGATCTGTAAGACGTCTCATAGGCCTGGGTTCCTCCAGCTCAGAATGGGTTCCAAAAAAATAAAGAAAACTCATGATGAAAGGCCCCCACCAAAACTGGCGAACACGTGTCTTCAGTTAGTTATCAAACCCTTGCTTTATGATATCCGCTCAACATCATCATCCAGTGGCATCATCATCCAGTGGCATCATCACCTTTATGAAGAGGCCTACCGAATTTACCTTTTTCTTTCCACCCCCTTACCTGCGAGCAGTACGAACATTCTTCTGTCCCTTTTCTCCTATTTATTCCAAATTAACAATCGCCCTATTTTCTTCTGTCAACAACCTTTGGATTTTCCTTGATTAGAATCCCTGGAAACCTCCCAGATTAGATCCATTAGTACAGTCGTACCAGCCACCTCCTCTCCTTTAGTACGCGTAAACTGATGTGTGTCCGGGATGTCTCATAGTAAATATTGAAGATAAGCTTTAAGGTATAATTAATAGTATATCGTTGGTTTCTCAACCTATGACGCAACCGCTTTTCTGAACTTTATTCCTCTAAACACAGAACTACTGCGTCAGTCTTTCCTTCCTCATCAATGCTTTCAACGTGCACCTTCCCTTTATGTACATCATACCAAGATCACACACGGACATCTTCTATAGCCGGGAACACACTTACCCGCTGCAACGCCATGCGACGCTACCCGATGCTACCTGACGCCTTGCCACGTTTTGGTGGGGTGTGCACATCTATCCGAGACAAGCACACGTCACGTACAGTCCACAGCGTTTATCACAATAATCACTATCACAATCGCAACGCATCTTTTATTCTTAATGTACTATTTTGAGCAAAACTTTGTAGTAAATTGTTAGTTTAATTTTATAAGCACCATCTAATAAATTGTTTGTTAAACTTAATTGTTTTAAATAAAATTACTCCTAACCATCATAATTAAATAATGTTTATAAAAACTTATGAATTTGGTTTACATTAAAATAACATGTTGTAATTAATATAACGACAAAATTACATGTACTTAGTTTGAAATAAACTACAAAAAATATGAGTGTCCTGTTCTGATGCTACCCGACGAAAATGGTGTAATTTTACGAGCAAAACTATGAAATAAATTGTTAATTAAAATTTTATGAGCAAAACCGTGTAATAAATTGTTCCAATTTTAGTATATGTACCACCGAAGCGAGTACAATAAATTGTTAGTGAAATTCATTATATCAAAAAATGTTATTCCGGTGTTTTGATTAATTTTCTACCAAACCATTAAATTTTTTTTTAATAAAAACTAATTAATTTTTAATCACAGTTAATTTGGTTTATATTAAAATAAGTATGTTT